TAGGGGAACCACTCGGCGTGGGCGTCTGGTAACTCCAGTTGGTAATTGTAAAGTGAGTCGCCGTGGGAAAACGTACAGCGCCCGAGGACATCGTCCGCAGCAAAGGTCAAATATTTACATCAACATATTTCACGCCCGAATCTAGCTAATTTTAAATCGGCGTAAGAATGCGGCCGCTAAAGTGCGGATTTAGATTGCTAATATTCCAGGACAATAGGAGAGCGCCTCCTTATGGGGGTACACTCATTCGCCATGTTACATACATTGCCTGCGATCGCGTCCGATGCGAAGGAGCCCTGTACCCCGGGTAACGTAGTGTGTGTGTGTGTGTGTGTGTGTGTGTGTGTGTGTGTGTGTGTGTGTGTGTGTTTGAATTAGCAGGTCGAACACGCACGAACGCATACACACACGACACGACATATGAAATGCAACAACCAATAACGCAAACATATGCACGGCGCATGTGCAAACGCAGGCACCTCGTAGATGGATTCGTCTGGATCGTAAATGTGTCGCAGTTTCACTTTTTGCGGATTGAAGAACGCGGCGAGCTGTTGGTCACATATACACACGTGTGCAGACGATCGAACGAGTGTGAACACATGAGAACAGTACCGTACACATTCATACATGCAAATGCACTCGTACGCGGGCGAAAGAAACAATCGCAACGCACACCCGTGCACACACACACACACACACACACACACACACACACACACACACACACACACACAAACACACACACACACACACACGAATACACACACACACACACGAATACACACACACGACAGATACCATCACCACCCCTCCTCCCTTATCATCATCATTATTATTATCTGGAGCACCTTGCCGAGGACAACGCCGTTTGCGAGTCGCTCGCCCAGCCGCTCGGCGGGCGGCAGATCAACCTCCAATATGGCCTGCAGCCACTGCTTTGCTTCCTCGAGGTGACACAGGTACTCGTACGCACGCGCCTTGCGCCGTGCCGTGTCCATCCCCGAAGATGACTTTGTCTCCACCTTCATCTTGGCGCGCACAGACGTCTGCACAGTGTGTGTGTGTGTGTGTGTGTGTGTGTGTGTGTGTGTGTGTGTGAGGTGAGGTGAAGTGCACCATGAAGCATATGAAAACACAGTTACGCCGGCAGACACACACACAACACACATGCACAGACACACATACACACAACACACACACGCACAGACACACAAAACACACACACGCACAGACACACAAAACACACACACGCACACTTCACGTCTCACCCGCAAGCTGCCGAGTCTGCCGCGATGAAAGGGACTGAGCCCCTTGAGCCCCGGGGAGGTTGGCTTCCCGCCAGGTGACGACGGGCTGTACACGCTCATGCTTGCCGGGCGCTGGCGGGAGCGGCCCATGGGAGTGACGGGCACCGAGACGCTGCCGGCAGCAGTTGCGCCTGTAGACCAGCGGTGCTGTTGCTGCTGTTGATGTCGGGCTGGAAGTGCCGATGGCGACGACAACGCAGAGGTGGGTGATGATGTTGGAGAGGATGGCCCAAGCTGCTGGCGTGTGGTTGAGGCTGCGGGCGTTGCTGGCGCGGTGTGTGACGCCGACGACGCCGCTGACGCCAAAGATGTTGCTGAGGAGGGTGATGCGGGCACCGATGGTTGCTGTGAAGACGGCTGATCTTGGCGCTCGCTGTTACCACCGTTGCTTGCACCGGACCGTTGTCCCTGGTGCTGGTGGTGGTGGTACTGTTGCGATGCTCTTCGGCTGGCACTGCGTGATTTCGGGCGCACTGGAGGTGGGGCCTTCTTTCTTCGTGGCGTTGTTGGCGGTGCCTTGCTGTTGCTGGTGGTGGTGCTGGTGGCGTCACTTCCGGCTTCGGGCCTGTTTGTTTTGGTGGTGTCGCCGTTTGTGCGGCCACCACTGTCTGAAGTGGCCTGTGCAGAGGAGGCGTGCGATGGATGGTTCTGCTGCGTGGTCGGCGCGTCGTTTGCATTGCCGCCATCGCCGCCTATCCTTGACGCCATGCCACACCGCTGGTGCTGCTCCTGCCCTTGCAGGAGAGGAAGGCCAGTGCTGGGTTCCCTTGCTTGCTGTTGGTGGTGGTGTTGGTGGTGTTGTTGTTGGGTGGTGGTGTTGTGTGTTTGGGGGTCGTGTCGCTTGTTGGGGTTGGTGGCGGTTCCGCTGCTGCTGTTTGAGTTTGTTGGAAGCAGCGCAACTCTTCCTCCGCTTCCGAGCCGTTCACGGGGATTATTCACGGAAATCATTCGCAGATTTGTCATCAAAGTCAAACTTGCCTTTATCGGGCAAAGGCAAACTCGGACACGACAGAAGGCCAGAAGGGAACGTGACAGCTATGTTGTACTGTGGAGGAGTGAAGCTCGCCCAGTCGCCCACCCTCCCCCCTACCCCACCTGCCCGTGTGCCCACTGTCACCCATGCAGAGCTCACAAGGTGTCTCATATCACACAGAGGCAAGAGGCACCATGCACAGCATGCAGGCATGCAGTGTGCTCGCCCAATGTTTGTTCTCAGGGTCAGGGCGCTGGATTCCGAATCGAAACGAGAAGAGAAGACTAGGAGACCACTCGAAGAGAGACAAATCCCAAAGTGTTCAAGCAAGGGATGACCTTCCCTACCGTCTGCATGTCTCATCACACGTCTTCCCCCCCCCCTCTTAGTCTCTTTGTGCCACAATCATAGAATCATTTCCTCCCGCCACCTTCTTTGTTCAGCATCTCTTGCTTGGGTTTGCTCTTGGTGCTCATTTGACACGAACGCAAGGCAGAGAAGAGAGAGGAGAGATGTCATCATGTCCGGGTTTGGAGGGGAGGTTGCACGTCTCCTAAGTGGTGTCAGCCGCACGAATTTTTACGATTGGCGGTGTCATTCGCGAAAGGCGTGCCACGATCGAGGGTGCGTCTTGCTTGCTGTGGGTTCGGCGTGCACGGCGTGCGGGTGGCAGTGACATGATGATAGATTGGTGAGCACCACCTGTGTGTGACGTGAGGTCGTGAAAGCAAGAGAGGGGTGGGAAAGGGTGCTTGGTTATATGAGCGTGGCTCACATCAAAATCGAAAACAGGCAAGGTCGGAGGAGAGAAGATCGTGGTGGAGAGACGCTGCTGTATCTGACAACCACCTCACACACGCACAAGGTGTATTCGCATATCCACGTGTTCACCAGCACGCACGCGCGCGCTTGCGCGTGCTCACATGGATCTTGACTGCAGGTTGCGCTTCATTCAGTAGGACCAGGCGTAGTTAGATTGTGATTGGACTTTCCAGAAAGCGGTGAGAAAGGTGCAACACGCTGATACATACGAGTGCATCGAAGGAGTGCACTGCATGTGCAGCATGGCTTTTCAATTGCTGTGGTGTGGCGTATGTTGCAGTTGTGTCGGTCTTACTTCGTCTTTCTCTCTCTTCATTTCCATCTTTCCATCTTTGCATTGCCAGCCAGTGCAGCAGCTCGCAGAAAGCCAACGGGCCGCACATCAAGACATCACACTCCTTGTGCAGCACAGCGAACAGTGCGCAGCACTACCTCAGCAAAGAGGTGTGTGTGTGTGTGCATGTGCGTGTGTGTGTAGGTATGTGTGTGTGCATGTGTGCGTGTGTGATTGCAGGGCTCCACAGCCTGCACTCGTCCACCGCACTCGATCACTTGAGCACTTGGGTTGTGGGTTGCTTGCAGCACTTCACGTCAACATCCTGTCCTTGATGATTGTGGTGGCGTATATTGGTGGCGAAGTCACACGTTGCACGATTGCGTATTTTCAGATTGCTCTTGCTCCACACACAACACACCACACACTGCGCATGCGCTGCTGTCTTTGCTTTTGCTGTGTGTCCTTTTCATTCACATGAGTGCATGGACTCACCCATATTCACCCACGCACCACACGTTCACACGTACACCCACCACCACCTTTGTGTCGCCCCAACCAACAACCACATCCACCAACCACATCCACCAACCACATCCTTCGCCCTTAAAGCCATCACCAACTCGAGTTTCCCTTCCCTTGAGTTGGTTGGTTGGTTGATCCTGTTGCCAGCAGTGCACTGCCAGGGCGGACACCAAGCAACAGGTGTGTTTGCCCGTCAACGCAGCCAGTCACTGCATATCTTGCGTGGCAGTGCACCGGCAACCACCCGTGTGGGTGTGCGCCTTGGCTGTTGCTCTGGTTCTTGTGATGTCTGTGTGTCTCTGTGTGTCTGCGGTGGGACTTGTGTGTTGCTTCTCTTCAAGCAAGTGCATGCGAGCGCCAAATTCATGCGGCTAGCAAGCAAGGCAAGGCAGGCAGTTGCCCATCCTCTCATTTCCATCTCGCTTTCTTGTTCGCTTTGTGACTGTGTGCTGTGTCACGCATCACAGACAACGAAGTTGAGACGGCAAAGGGCTGTTTTTCGAGTCACAGCACAGACGATCATGAGGGCTGTGCTCTGGGCATGCGTGCTCGTCCTCGCCCTTGCTGCGGCTCAGGTGCGTGCGTGCGTGTGTGTGTGTGTGTGTGTGTGTGTGTGTGTGTGTGTGCGCGCGCGCGCGCGTGTGTGTGTGTGTGTCTGCCTGTGTGCGTTCTTGTTTTTGTGGGTGGTTCTGTACTGCCATCGCACTTACTTTGCTCACCGTCAGCCGCACACCATCGCCATGACACACACATACTCACTCACTCACTCACTCACTCACACACACACACATGCACACACACACACACTCACGCACATACATACACGCGCAATACCTGCAGCAACAGCAGGTGCGGGCGGCGGCCGTGTCGACGACGGTACCGGCATGGCCGTTCACCGTCACGTCGTTCAGCTCGACAGATGACAGCGGCAGCGGCAGCGGCGTTGACGATATGAGTGGCAGCGGGAGTGGAGATGACATGGACGGCAGTGGCGGTGGTAGTGGGGATGATATGGGAGGCATGGACGGCAGCGGGAGTGGGGATGACATGGATGGCAGTGGCAGCGGAAGCGGTAGCGGCTCTGGAGATGATGGCTTCCCTTCCACATCAACCTCCACTTCAAGCACGTCATCAACAACAACAACAACAACCACAACAACAACAACAACAACAACAACAACAATAGTGACGACATCAACGACAACAACAACCACAACAACAGCAACAACAGCAACAACAGTGACGACGACAACAACAACGACAACAACGACAACAACCACCACGGCCACTGAGGCGCCGTTGAGGCTCGTGGCGTTTGCGATTGACCGCCAGAGGGGCGTCATCGCCTTCAACATGAGCCGACCCGCCATCTTGGATACAGTCGATCCAACCAAGTGCATCCTCCACGCTGTACGTCTTTACTCTGCATGTGTGTGTGTGTGTGAAAGAATTGGATTCGTACACAAGTGTGAGACGGCTTGTGCTTGTTCTTGTGGCGTCCACTTGTGTGTGCGCAACAACACAACACACCACAACCACATCACCCTCTTCCCCTCCCCCCCCCTCTCAAAAAAAAAAATATCCGGCCCACTTCCTGACCATCGCTCCGCCATCGTGTATGCCAGGGCATCCCACCTGCTGCGTCGTTCATTCGTTTGACCGGAGGAATCGCCCGTTCCCTCACTCGCCGCCGCGAAGAAGGTGACACACACAAGTGTACATGCGCGCCCGCGTACACACACGCACATACTCACACAAGTGTGCATACACACAATCACACGCGCGCGCACGCACAAGTGTGCAGACACACAAACACACACACACGCACGCACGCACACACACGCACGCACGCACGCACACACACATACACAAGTGTGCATACACAAACACACACAAGCACATATAATGCAGGACATCACAGCATTACCCGCACGCTCACCTCCGAACCCCCCTCCCCCAAATCACCGACCACCATTGCCAACATCATGGCCACAACCAGCAACGGTGTTTGCGATTGACATGAACAGTCAGGACAAAACAGCACTCAAGCGCAACGTCGCCTTTGCTGACCCAACCACGTGCGTCACAGAGAGAGAGAGAGAGAGAGAAACACATTCGTGTGCTTTGTTGTCATCATTCTTGCCTCAGCGTGCAATTGTCTGTGCGCCTTTATTCTATCTTAAACTCTCATCAAGGACTCGCACACATACACACACACACACCCATACACACACCCATACACACACACACCCACACACACACTATCTATCTTTGTCTTTCCCTCCCCAATCAATGTCATCATCCTTGACCCCCCCCCCCAACCAACTCTCCAATTCACTGTACACCACAGGTACCGGGTTGCGCTTGAGAGCGGGTTTGCGACTGCTGTTGGCGGCGCGAGTGTGCAGCCACAGACGGCAGATGAATCCCCAGCACCATCCACCGACCTTGGTACCGTCCTCACCAACTCGCTGCAGGCAGACAACGATGGTGACGACGACAACATCACCGGTGGCGCCATTGCAGGCATTGTCATTGGCTGCGTGGCTGTCATTGCCATCACGGCTGCCGTGTTCGTCCACCACCGCCGCCGCCACGCCGGCCACTACCTGCCCATGGGTGTGCAGGCATCGACGCTCCCAGCAACAAAATCATCATCATCATCATCGCCATCCTCACCGCCGTCCTCGTCTGCAAAGGGCAAGAAGCGGCGTGGTGGCAAGCGCAGCTCTGGGCAGCAGCTTGCCGAGGCAGACGCTGACGGCATTGTCACGTTTGACAACTACCACGAGGACTACCGCGTGTACCGCCTGGAGGGCGACAACGGCTTTGGCACCGGCCCACACGCCAACTTCCCCTTCAACGGTGGCGGCGCAGGCAACGGCTTTGACAACGGCTTTGACAATGGGTTCAGCGTGCCCGTCACGCCCTACCATCAGCTGCCGCTCGCCGCTGCCGCTTTTCCACCTCGCACGGTCCTCGTTGCCGTGCGCGTGCCTGCTGCTCCGGCATATTACAGCCTCCAGTTCTCGCCCGGCGACACGCTCGTGTACATTGGGCCCGGCGCTGCCCAGGGGTACATCAAGGCGTGCAATGCCGTGGGGGAGGTGGGCGATGTTCCTGTCGACTGCGTGGAGCGCGCAGATGCGCCTGCTGACCTCCTCTTTGCTGACGTCGTCACTGGCAGCGGTGGCGGTGATGGTGGTGGTGGTGGCCATGGTGGTCTCGGTGTGCATCCGCACGCGCTGCAGCGGCGACAGGTGAGCGAGCAGTCGTACCGGATTGACGTGGACGAGGTGGTGGAGCGGTCCCAGTCTGCCACGCCAACTGTCGACACAGCGCACAGCGCAGCCACCGTCACCACGGCTGTGAGCGCTGGTGATGGCGTGGAGGAGGTGCACCCCTTGGATGACGACCTTCAGCTCTTGGAGGCAGACGACGGCTGGGTTCGCATTCCAATTGGTGATCGCACACGCGCACAACAACAACAGCAGCAGCAGCAGCAGCCGATGGGCGGGTACACGTCGCACGTGCACGTGGATGTTGACGTGAGTGGTCGCGGTGATGGTGATGGTGATTGTGATGATCGGTTTGCGCCACTGCGCGACATGCCTGGCGACTGGCGGGTGGACGCTGCCAGTGATGAAACCTCAACCGGGTCGAGCACACGCACCAGCCAGCACCGGCCACCACCCGATGGTGATGGTGGTGAGAGCGCAACGACGGCGGTGACGACGGTCGATGAGGACATGAGTGTGATGAGTCAACTTGTTGACAACATCATCTGGCCAGAACAGCAACAGCAACAGCAGCAGCAGCAACAGCAGCAGCAACAAGGCGGCAGCGCCAGCAGCGGTGGCGAGGATGAGTATGGCCACCACCGCTACACGCCGCGGCGCAAGGACAACCCGCGGCGCAGGGTGACAGACGTTGACCGTGCCATGCAAGAGCGCCGGAGGAAACAGTCGAGCGATGATGGCACTGGTGGTGATGGGTTCGGCGATGATTATGGCAATGGTGATGTTGGTGTTGGTGTTGGTGCGTCCGTCTTGGGGACTGTGCAGGGTGACGAGCGGACAGGGGCGGCGGTTGGTGAAGACTCTGCAGCCCGTGAAGGTGGTGGTGGTGGTGGTGGTGACACGAGTGTTGTTGAGCAACACCTGACGCTGAGCTGGCCGGACCCGAATGCCTTGGAGGTCTACGTCAAGACGAGCGCTGACGACTGGCTCCAGCTCCACCCGCTCACCCGCACGTGAGTGTTTTGTGTGTGTGTGTGTGTGTGTGTGTGTGTGTGTGTGTGTGTGTGTGTGTGTGTGTGTGTGTGTGT